AGAGGGGGGCGGGGGGCGCGGCCCCCCCTCGTACGCCCCTGGATAGGAGTGCATGAGTGCAAGGCTAGATAGCCTTTCCGTTTTCATGGTGTTCCGCAGCCATGTTAGCAACCTAATTATCAATATACATAAGTTCCGTTTCTATTTTTTGTTTAAATTTTAAACAGTTTTCAAAGCTTATAACTGTTTAGGCATCTGCAAAAAGCCGCAAAAACTTTTACTATCATGAAAATGCACTTGAGACTTGAGTGCAGACTAATCAATAGGGAATGCATTTTTTTTTGAAGTAAACTGTAACTTCTAGAGGCAGCAAGTGGAGTAACCCCTGCTATTCAGGACCTGAATATATGTTCAGGGGTAATTACCTCTAGGATTCTAGGGGGGGGTATTTACCCCCAGGATTCTAGGGGGGGGTATTTACCCCCAGGATTCTAGGGGGGGGGATTTACCCCCAGGATTCTAGGGGGGGGTAAATAACCCCAATAACCCCCCTTATATCCGCCACTGGATGAGATGTTGTATTAAAACTATTAAACACTTTAAATTTATAACTTTAACAATATTAATTCTAAAATGAACGTAAATAAGAAGTAAATAAATGCTTATCACTAACTGTTACTTGGTCCTTGGACGATTATTTTAAAAATGTCGAAACTGATGAATCTGAAAATGAAAATGGACACGACCGATGTCTGTGTGCGCAAATACCCCGTAAATGTTGGCAAGGGAGGATGTTTTAGGGAAGATTAGTTTGATTCACTGATTGTCATTGAAAGTTTTGCTAAATATTTTTAAATACGTTTAGAACTTTTATTTACTGTAAAGCTTGAAAACAGCCATTTTAATTTGTTTAAATTAATAAATTTGAATTTAGGTGACATGTATTTATAAAGCTAATTTTGCTGGAACACTTTTAAAATTCCGAATTTGATTCCGTTTCTTCAATGTTTCTTGAATTATCATGTTTAGAAGGCGAAATTTGAACGAATTAATGAAAGAAATTGATTTTTAAGCCTTTCTATTAAAAATCATATTCTCAGTATTTTTCAGAATAATTCCGTGAACGTATACTTTTTGTGGATTAACTTTCAATGTAATAAAAGCTCCTTTTTTTAGCCTAAAAATACATTATGTGTTGTTTAAAAATGTATGGTAAATGTAAATATCATGCATGCTTGACTTGTAATATTTCAATTTTGGGACGGTTTTGTCAACAATTTTCGAGGATTTAGTCTTATATTGGATGTTTAAAGGATTTTGAATGGTGAGGGTGGTTGCATGGCTAGAGGGATAGGTAGTCTACTTTACCGTAGCGGTGTGTGTACCGCCCCGCTGAAACAGCTGGGAGGGATAGAAGGCTGTGGATGTTATTAATCTATACTCATGAAGCCGTTTTTAAGAGAAGTACTCGCTTTAAAACCAAAAAAGTTGGAGTAAATTTGCGAAATATTGTATTTCTCGTCAGAATGAGTTTATAAATGTAGCATTTTAGGTTGTTTTTAAGTAAAAATAATCATTTACTCACTTCCTCACTCTTTTCTCTCTCTCAGTCCAGTGTAAGGCGGGGGAACAGACAGTCTCGCGATACACACACAATACTTTTAGACAAGATTCATAGTTAATAGACACATCATAGACGCCCAAAAATGAAGGTAAATGTTAATTTTTCTTCTCTGAAAACGTTACATACACATTCGTTATTTATTCTTTCGGCCTTAATTGATCATAGCTGCAGTCACTATATTTTCAACATGTTAAATATTTTTTTCTAACATTAATGTGTCTTTTAGATGGATAAAAATGGATGATCTCAGTTAGTAGAAGCAATAATTGTAAGCAAAATGGAGAAAGAGAAGCTTTGTTTCCAGAAAAAAGAGGCAATAGTCTTACATTATTATAGTTTATTATCTTCGGGTTTGGTTTGGCATTTCAAACATTTTTGAGTTTTCAAGATGAAATTGTTAACTTACTTTTCTCATTAGACGTAAAATTTATGAACAGTATATTTGTTTGATGAAAAAATTCAAAAAAAAGTTTTTGACCCGAAACCTAAATATAGAAAAGATCGATTTTTCGTTGCAGAACATATCGACTTGAATTTACATCTCACCCCTTAAAAATAGTTAGAGCATTTTGTAATAAATTGCTCTATTACTCTATTCTGATCAACTTAAAGCAATTTTTTAGGGAGTTATGTAAATGTATATGTTTCTTTTTTCATTTTTACCTAAAAGTTAAATTGTTTATACGTAATCTTAGAAATGAGCAAGAGTAAGACGACATTTTGTTTCATTTGTGATATTTTGAATTGTAGGTGGGAATTTTAATTATAGAATCAAGATTCAAAACATTGAATTTATTTGATTTATAGAAATCATTTAGTCGTTTTGATAAGTAGACATTAATTTATTAATTAATTTTACTCCGTAAAGAATAAAAATTATTTTGATATTAATCTTAGGTTTGTAACGAGAGTAACGAAATGGTGCACCCGGATTTTTTGCCACAAGAGAGTTTAGAAGTCACCGAAGCGTCCCAATCTCTTTCTGAACAGCATATCTCCGTTCTACCAACCTTACACTCCTCCCCCTCACAACAGCCAGTAACAGATTCATCTGCTAGAGCAGTTATTTTACCAACTACCGCCATTAGTTCTGTCCAAGACTCAACTCTTACTTCTAACCTCTTCCCCACCCAGGCCATGAACCCAATGCCCCTGGTGAAGTCCCCGGTCCCCAAGCAGAAGAATGTGTTAAAGGAGAGGTTTGTTTTGAAAAACACTCATGTGGTTCAACAAGCTAAGGTGATCAATTTAAGAGCATTCATAAATTCTTTAAAAACATTTGTTTTTACAAAAATTTGCAATAAGGAATATAAAATGTCCATTAAAACTTATTTTTAACTCGTTGTCGATTATATCAAATTTGTAATAATTCTGTTGCAATCAAATCAATTAGTAAAAAATATTTAGAAAAAAATTATTAAATTCAAACTTTTTAATTTAGATTATATTATACAAAGATAGAATAATTTTTTTGTTTTATAAATTTTGGTAATCACATCATTATTGGATTCTTAAACGTAAATGGCTCATTGGGTAACAAATTTAGGCTGTGAATATTGAAAATACCAATGATGTTGTGACTGAACAAGAGAAAATCAGTTTTCAGCTAAATGAGGAGGAAACAAATTATCTACGGCTTTGCAGGTTAAAAATCTTAATGAAGTCCAGATTATAACTATTGAACACTGGTACAATGGACTTTTACCTTTATTATACTTCCCCCCCCCCCCCCC